CAGATCTTTTCAAGGAGTCAAGCCAGCAGGGTGATGGGAGTGTATGTGCAACTACCCCTGCCACAGAAAGTGGCAAGACCATTTTTATTGTGGTCATAACTGAACATAGAGCTGAAAACAGGCAAATCCTAGCTATCAATTATCTGTATTGCTTGGATACACAGGCTTTTTTGGTTGAATATGGCATTTGTGTTAAATTCCATGGCTTTGGCCTGTTGTGTTAAGATCACCTTGGTTGTCCTATTACTCTGCTGCCACAGGATGGGTCCATAGTGATTTGAAAAGAAACTACAGAGCAGAGGAAACTACAGAGCAGAGGATGAACAGAAAAGTATTTGAATGACTAAAGAAGTGAGAAAGCAACTCTGTAGATTTTTAGCCAAGGGCTGAAGCAGTCAGTACAGAAGACACTCAAATGTATCTGCCCTGAGTTCTTCCCAGCCATTCCAGGTCAGGCCTCTGTCCTTGTCTTCTCTTCATTGTTAAGTGTCCCGGGAAGCCTTTGGTTTGTCCTTCTAGTCTTGTCTGTCTCTACAGGGATTATATAAGGATAAATGGTACTGAGGAGTTCTGATTTTTTAGTTCTAAAAAAGTACACGTACATAGATCTTGGAAGTCTGCATGACAGGGAGGATTCAAAATGCTTGTATACTGAATTAGTTTGCTTATTCAAACATATACATTTTTATGCAAATTCTTATCTGCCACACAACTAACCAACTGAAAAAAATGTACAATATACAAAAGGTAGGGAAGTAATGGAACTGTACTTCAGTTTTACTCTTGGAAGACATGATCCTGAAATGTAGATTCTTTTCAGTGAACCAATTATTCAACAGTTAAACTTTAGGAAATATTCATTCATTACTATAGTTTGATGCATGACTGACCAGTAGGAGTATGTGGATTATTTTAGGAAAAATTTGTTGTTCACATTTTAGAAATATCACTTATCCATTATTCTCCAAAAGAATATACAAGTGTAGTTACCTTAGACTGGTTTTTATACAATAAAAGCAATATCAATCTGTTGCAAGTTGCCACCATAGCTGAATTCCTGCTCACACAAAGTGTCTGTAACTCTTTTTAATGGTATTATATGAAAGTCAAATAATTCAACTCCTGTGTTTTCTTTCAAATTATGATATTTGGATGCAGTAATGTGATGGTTCATGCAAGTTGAAATAAGGAAGAGTTTTAATAAAAAACAAAAAAATAATTTATAAGCAAAAATATCCCGTTGACTCTCTTACTAGGATAGGTGGCTATTCATAATGGGAGTAAAATCTTAAGGTGTAGTTATTAAAGTGTTTTAGGGCTATCTTAAGGATATTGGCTTAGAATTGAGGATTTCCATTGAGGCAGCAAACAGAAAAATAGGCCTTTTAATCTATTGTGTCTGCCTTCTGCTTTAAATGTTTCACTGTCCTACAGAGACAGTATTCTTTTAGCAAACATGTTTAAGGCAATAATTTAATATAGCTTTTTCAAAAATAAGGATATTGAGATAAATATTTTCCCATACCATAAAGAGAACAGTAACACCACACAACACTTTAATAGTCATCTGGGTTTTCTGACTTACAGCTTACATTATTATTTGCTCCTCTGTAAACTGGATACAAGTGTGTTTAAATTCTGCCAAAAGCAAGATGCAGGTAGTAGTACCTTGTACCCATTCACTAGATCAAAATCTTCAGACAGGAAATGTTTTGAGTTCTCAGACAGATCTCCCTGAAAATGCCATATGCTATAGTCAACCCATCTTAGAACCTGAGGCTGTGTATGGGGCTGGCAGGGATTTCTAGGTGCAGTGGCAATCCACTTATGCCCATTTTTAATGTCAGGACTATTTTCCAATGCAGATCTACAAATCTGATTTTCAGCTGTCATATTTTGCCTTAATAAAGAAGTAGAAGAAGACTCCTGGGAGTTTTGAGCATTATGAAACCTCTGGAGACTGCATATCTGCCAACTGTTCAATTCATTAGGATACAACATTGAAATAAAGTATAAAAGCCTGAAAATACATCCTCTTCTACAAAATAATAGCCCTGACCATGTTTTCCTGATAAAACAGAAACCAGACCCAGATTTACTTATGTGGTTTAATAAATGTATAGTAAGATGAATATTTAATTACCAATTTGTTTATCAATTATGAGCAATGCACTGTCTCTATTGCACAGCTCCAATTAGCTCCCTAAAACATAGGAAAAGAAGAAAATAAAAAGTATTTATAAATATTGCCTGACTAGTCCTATGCAGCTTGTTGAATTGCTATTTATTAGTCTGGTAATGCCTTTGTATTTAATTAAAAATTCAGGACAGGCTTTGTAAATAAGCAGTAGACAATGTCTGGTCTAAGAAAAGGAACTACCCAGTCATAGAAATGAACTGGGAATACTAGAAACTCCATCTGTCCTGAATAATTACAAATTCACGAACTGTTTTGCATAGTACAATATTTTGTATATTCAAAACAACTGGAATAGTGAGTAGGAGTGCAATCTATCTAGGAGCTGTATGAAATTCATGGAAAACTATTGATAGAAAGAATTTCGAGATTTAAGTTACTCCTTTCCTCATGGTCTGTGGTATGATTTCATAAACTCTCTGATTTTATTTTCCTAAATACTCTCTATGAGTGTTGATCATTGTTATGATTTAAAAGCAGTATAGTTTTACTCCCTTGATCATCATTAATATTTTCTTCCAGATTCATTCCATATTTCCAAGTATTTCTGTAAGTCATGTTTTCTAAACACTTTACTTGTTATATTCCTCTGCACTACCCTGCCTTTCTCAAAACATTGCACTTAAAAGTGATTTTTTTATTAATCAAGCAGAATGCAATAACCATTTGACATAATTTTTTCACAGAGCAGCACAGTGAATATTTCTCTCAAGTTTATACACAACGCTGAGTAATACATCCCAGAGGCAGGTTTTTGCAATAATATCATGTTCTATGTCCTTGGTGGAATATTACAATCCCCCATTTTTTTTTTTTTTTTTAAACAACTGATGTTTTTATATTTGTGCAATTGATTATTTCCTTCCTACAATCTTTCCCTCTTAAATTAAAGTAACTAATTACAAATTTTGAAATGTCCTACTTTCCTGTTCCCAAAGTGCGACATGTCCTTCTTGATATAATCCATGTTTGCATTATATTTCGCAAATCTTATCCTTCTGTATCACTTATTGCTTTCTTTGTAAGTACTACTCATATCAATGTGCATCCAAATTTTGCAAGTTGGTGAGCTTTTGTTCTCAAGACTTTTCCATCAGTTCATCCCTTTTTTATTGGAGAATCTCATTGCCATTCAGTGAAAGGAGCCTTATACTGTGAGTAAAAAGGTCACAAACAAGAAATGATAATTTCTTAATAAGATATGCACTCTTTGAGCAGTGATTATTGACATAGATCAATAATACAAAATATCTTAAACCCATCTCAGTGTGAAGCCAACTGCAATAGTTTATACAACTCAGATTGGACTATTTAGTTATTTTAATGAAATGTCCATAGGACAGAAGTTTTATAGTTAACTTTTTTTAAGAGTCCTCACTATTACTGAACAGTGGATTCCATTTGCTACATTATTTCTTACTGCTTAGTCAGTGACTTATGAAGAAAATTGTAGTTGCATGTAAATGTTCAGTTTGGAGAACAAGAAACAAGCTGGTAATTCAGGATTACTTACTTCAGATAAGAGAAATGATTTGTAATATTCCGGTTGGTTTTTTTCAGCTGTTGCTGGGATTTGCTAACTAAGGGAGAGAATTCTGACATATGGCCCTTTGAGTTAATCTCATATTTCTGCAGCGTGTGCAGAGGAAGAGCAGTAGATAAATGTATTCATTTCAGCAAGACCCTCAGGTCTTAGGAAGCTTACACTGAAACAAACCTTGTCCTTCTCTGCCCATAACCCAGCCCACAGCTCAAATGTTCAGCTTTGACATGACAGAAAGAGAGAAGTGGAGTTTGTAATAGCCAAATCTCAGCCATCCTGATTCTTTCTCCAGACATAAAGCAAGCATAGCCCTCAAGGATGAGAAGGTGTTGGTTGCTGGGAGGTATAAAGCAGGAAACAAGAATTTGTTTTGAAATTTAGTAAATCAAGACACTGAAACTTTATCCCAGTTTCAAATGCCTTAACACTAGCCCCAAAATCCTTCTGTTCTCTAATTGTTCAATTTTATATTCTCTAACACCTCTTCTTGTGTTCTGGTTTCTCTGGGTTTTTTTTTTTTTCCTAAATTTAATTTTGGGGAAGAGTTTGTGGGAGTTTGTAGGCCTCTTTCCAACATCTCATTAATTTTTCCATTGCCTCCTCCACTGTACCTTAGATTTTATCTCCACCAAAGCATTGGTATTAGTTTGTTCTGAAATTCTGCACTGAAAGTAATTGCATGAAGTATCAAGATTATTTTAGCTGTATGGGTGTTCAAACATTTAACTGGAATACTCAGGCTGCACCTAGGTTGCTAATAAACTTGGAATAGTTTTTTTTTGTCTTTGCTATTCATGAAACTATTGAAAATGCTAAGAGTAATTATAGGTAGAGTGTGGGTCTGGCTGAGGAATACTGGACTTAATGTAGTTTCCAGCATGCTAATAAGTCACTTAAGGAAGCCATGAAGACCCTTTAGACTCTGCTGGCTTTAAGAAAATACTTGTAGGAAATAGACCAGATTCATGTCAGCCACTATGTTGTTGGGTTTTTTTCCCCGATTAGATGCCACATGTAGTGGCTTTCTCCTGACAGTCAGAGGTTTTTTTTTTTTTGGAGGACAAGAACGGACAGTAGACAACAATTAGATTTTCTTCCCGTGTGGAGTTCAGAAATGCCAAAGTCTGCATAGATATTGAAAAGCCTGTAATTGTTCAGTGTAGTGTAAATGCTAAGTTCTAATCAGCGATATCTTTCTTGGTTTAATTCTGTTAATAAAATCGTAACTGAACCTGGAGATAAACCCTTCAGTTGTCTTACCTGAAGTAGTCTTCACCACCTCGGTTGTATTTCTTAGTCCTGTAAAGGCGAACTGGTAAAGCCTCCAGGACCGGGTGTCCCCCACCTCCACCGAGCTGCGCTTCCACTGGTAAATTATCTCTTCTCTGGGGTAACCATCTTATTGCAATGGAAAATACAGAATGCTTTGTTTCATAGTCACTGCTAGGGTTTAGGGTGCTTTGGGGAGTAAAAAATACTACTATCTGTTTCTGGAAAAAAACTGGAGAAGCACATTGCAAGTAAATTATAGATACATTTTTCTCAAGTTATTTACTAGTACCTTTTATGTAATGTCAAATTTTATTAAATATATATTATAATAGCAATTGAGAGAATTTTTTCAAAAATAGCTTTTCCAGTTTTGTTGACCTAATAGGATGCAATTTTGCCCATCCTCCAGATCTATCTGCAGCTGGACCAGGAATTCACACCTTGATCTAACCTCAGAATGTCAAACTCTTGACTCCAACTAGTGTAATAGTAAAACACCCTTGCACAGAGAGAAAGTGGAAGGCGAGGACACCTTGATGCTGAAAGCAAAAATTTCTTCGGTTTTGGTCAGATATAAGCATAAATTTATCACATAGGGTCCAGATATTTTTCTTTTTTTTTTTTTTTCTTTAAATAGTGGTCCTTAATGATATTTGTGAGCATATATGATTCATGTACCAAAAAAAAATATCAAAATAAAAGTAAAAACCAGTGGGGTATGTCTAATTAAGAACATAACCTTCACTGACTCTAAGTATGTACAAGTAAATTTATAATAAGAAATTCAGTGTGGGTCAGAAAAAGGAATCTTTTTAAGCATGTTACTTACAGCTCGAAAATTCCAGTGGGCAGGAATGGACATCCATTGGGAAGTTATGTAACTGTAATTGACACTCAGCATCAATTGTCAGCCTGAGAAGAAAGAGATCAGTATATAGGGAATGCACTTGAAAAGTTTGTCCTGAAAGCTGCATCATGGCAAGCAAAGCAAGATTCTTAGTAAAATATATATATATAAATATATATATTTATATAAAGTAAACTACTGCTATCTTTTTTGGTTCCACAGACCCTGATCATTTACTTTCTGGACTGTGTAATGGAAGAAGGTATTAAAGTTCTGTTCCTGTGCATCTGAAATGGCAGCTTTACTCATGACTGACAAATCCATGGGTAGGTAGGTAGACATACAGGTCATCTCATGAGCAGTAACAAATCTTTGTATCACAACATGCCTTAATGCACTAAATGTATTCTATGTGACAAAGATTCTATTTCAGAAATGATGGATAGGAGTCCAAATTTAGGCATCTGCATCCAAGACAGCCATCTAGACTCCTTTCACAGCTAGTGCAGAGGCGCTCTGAGGATACGCTTCCTCTCACTCCAAAATAAGACATTTAAATTTAATCAGAAGAAAAATGTACCAAAAGGAGTTTGTCTCCACTGATTATTAGTAGTGTAGGTGCTAAGCTCAGGTTAGAAATCCCAAGTAAGATGAAATGTACCTTCTGGTGTTCCTGCTAAAACCTCTACCATTTTTCATTCACTCCCAGCCCAAATGTGAGCTGCTGGATACTTGGACTTTGGAAGAAAGGGAAGAGGTGGGGTGAGAGATGGAAAATGGAAAAGGGTGGGGTAAAATGTTCCACAAGGTGTCTCTAGGAAAGCTGTAGGTTTCTGGTCTTTGCTGATTCTGGGGCATCTAAATGATGACCCCTGGTTTGTCTCCAAGTTCCTGAATGGAGGTATCATGGGCAAATGACCCTGAGTTTCATCCTGTGGGATGCAGAGGAATACTGGGACCACTAAGGTAATGCAGTCCAAAGGCAAACTTTCTGCATTAAGGATTTAGGAAGAAATCTAATTTCCCTGTTTCTCTTCTTCTTCAGTACCACAGATAATTGATTTCCTGCTGGGCAGGGTGGTTCTTAAACCTGGGGAAGGTGACTGAGAAAAATCAACCAGTCCTTCCAGATCCCTCTTCAGGACAGAATCCCAGCTGTGTGATACTGTCATATTTCATTTCTGGGTTAATGGAGGTTGAATCCTTGGCCCTTGCTGTGGCTCATCACATAACTAAATATACATTCATAGCAGATACTTGTTTCCAAGTTTTACCAGATACATCACTTTCTAGTAAGAGAAACCGAGGAATTTGAAGAGAAAGGTAATAAAATCCAGACAGTAGTGTAGCCAAGTCCAAATTGAACATTTAAAAAGTGGATCTAGGCTCATCTTTATCAGACTGATTTTGATTTGCATTGGATTTCAATTCTGATTATTCTATTATCTCTTCTGGAAATGCAATATGCAATAAATTTAAAATAACTATGAAATAAAACTCCTATTTGTGATTCAGACAGTTGCAACATTAAAAGGTTTTCTTAACCAAAGCTTCACATCTATGCGTTAAAATTATGTGTACTTTTCTTCAAAACTTTATTTTTGGCACCCAATAAAGTAAAAGCAAAAAGAACTTTGTGAAAATACAGTTTAAAACTCAGATTATCTTCCGTCTATCATCTTTGAATTTATACTCTTATTTTAAATTATAAATTCTCTTGAAAAAATGCTGTGTTTATCTATATTTTACATAAACCAGAATATTATATCACATCACATTCAAGAAAAAATATAAAGAAACCTCCACAGGATTTTCACATTTAGGAAGTATTTTATGATAATTTGGAATATGATATTTGAGTTGTTACATACGGCATATGCATAACTTAATTATCGAAAAGGTTATTTGTCTTAAAAGAAAAACTATACACATGACTGAGGAACCTTGACAGGTTGAGCATATCAAGTTCAGATCCATGAAAATTTTGGTGTAATGGGGCATATCCATAGGTTTGAGTTAAATATTCAATGCTGGGATGGCAAAATCTTATTTGCCTAAGATATTTGAGGAATAAATTGCTTTTTCAGGGTGGAATTTCATCTGGTTAAAATGTAACCAATTCAGAATATAAGAGGCTTTTGATGTATGTAATAACTCCTTTTATACCATCTACTTAATTCATGGATATTTTACATTTATCAGTTTAACACAATAAAAAAGTTAGAGACCAAACCAAAGGAAAACAATAAAACATATCTGAAAATGAAGACTAATTACTAAAAATGCCTATATTAATGTTATTAATGTTAATGTTAATATAGGAAGGTGAATATTGTGGAGCAAGACAGTACAATCTGTAAGAAGAAATAAAACTTCTTATTGTGCCAATATAAAATAAATGTCATACAATTGATATCTTCTAAATTCTAAATTCTCAACCCTTTTTCAGAGTTGTTTACATAAATATGTAGAAAAACCCAGTTTCTTTCCTTTAGGTTAATGTCAAATGACCTGAATTCACAGGGTTTTTCTCTTTGGTTTTCCTTAGAGAAAATGAAACTAAAGTTAAGTATAAATACCTCAATGTGTACAAGACTCTGCCATCATTCCAGATTCTGAGCATCCTATTAGGAGTTGTTATCCAGTGAGCATCAGCCTTCTTGGAATTTCGGAAAAATGTGTCTGGTATCCAGATCTTCCCAACCATGTTGCTGTTTAATCTGAGCACTTTTATAGTGCTGTTGAACTTCAGACGTCTGTCATACCACGTTTGGGCGAAAAATATATCAATTGTATATTCCTGTTGTGTTAACCAGAAATACTGATGAAAACATAGCACTCAGCATTCCACGTAACTCCTGACAGGCTTTCCTTAATTTCATATGAAAAAACTGTGGGCTACAGAAGGTGATACTAGAACTGATAAAACCAATCTCTTTTGGTAAAGTTTTGAGGCATGTTTTACCAAAGGTTATTGCTTTAAAACAATTTACTGTTTTACCATTGAGGATAAAACTAAGATACAAGTGAGTGTTATATGCACCTTTCTATTTCTGTATTCCTATACCTCACCTGCACCTGCTCAGGTCAGACAACAAGTACTTACTTCCTTGGATCTAGGACAAGAAAAGCTTTAGCTGACTTAATTGCCTTTGCCCCTTGGTTAATCTAAGAAATGGTGAAGTCTCTGGAGAAATTCTAGGCATTTTATTCATTATCTCTTGGTGGCAAGAGTGGTAGTATCACTCATGAATGGTTTTCCTGATTTTGTAGCAATCTGGAAGCTTGGTTTTACTGGAGTTAAACTGTTGCAAAGCATTCGAAAGCAGAGCACGTTAAAATGTGAGGATATCTTAAAACTATAATTTTCACATTTTTTTCAGCATGTAGCTCAGTTTTCTGACTTGTACAGATTTATAGCTCATAGAGTCCTCCCATCCACAATTAAAATGAGATTTTAAAAATAATATAGCTATGCCACAACATTAAGAACTAATGAAAACTTTGTAATGTCGAAATGATGGAGACTTTGTAACAAGGAAAATGGACAATCCTTTACCTACCATATTGATAGCATTCACAGGGCCAATGCTATTTACGTACATGTCAGTGTGAATTATTGTCGGTTTAACTGCAAGAGAAACAACAAGAATCAGTAACCAATGAAGGTCAAAATCAACTACATGAAAGTCAAGCACAAGCATGTTACTATGGCATCTCTCCTCTGTGGTTGCCCTACATTTAAATGTGCATATAAAATAAATACAAATTTGCAATGTCTTCAGTTTGAAATCAGTTGGAGACACTTTGAGACAAATTCTTACATCATTTATTCTATCAAAACAAATTCCCTTATGCTATGAGAACAAGTACTGAAACCGGTGTTGATAGCTTAGAGAGACTTGTCTGACTGAGAGGATCTACATTTTTGTCAGGCCACAGCAACACGTCAAAACAAAACACTATCAACAAAAACAAACATTTCTCTTACGATGCCTTACATCACTTGATTTACATTATAATGCCAAATGCAACATGACTACTGTTGCTTGCATAGGTGCTGTAGATAGGTAACAATTTCTTGATCCCAAAGACAAAATACTTAAGGCTCTAAGGGAGAAATTAAGAATAGTTGTAAGGTTAACTACTTTCTAACTAACGTAATTTCATTTTGAAATTACTCTATTTCAACTTTATTCTTCTTAGATATCTTGGCTACAGCATGATTGTTTTTTCCCCAAATGATTTAAGAATGCCCTACTTCCTTCTGTTTTTAAAATCTTGGTTTAAGTCAAGACAAATTCCTCTGCTAATTTACACTGCATACATATACTGAAGATTAATGACTCATGTTATCCTTCACTGTGAAAATTTTCTTAGTTTATAAGCCTCTATAAACTTGAAGGAACAAGCTTCCTTTATTAACCTTACTGCTCTCTGCTTTCCTCTGTCTGCCTCATCCATGAAATCTGTGCCTTTTTTTATAATCTTATTACTTCTGTATCCTTGTCTGCCTGCTCTGTGCACTTATGGGGCTTCTCAGACTGACTTGCAGCAATTCAGGGAGGTTTTTTTCCTTCAAGTTACCTCAGTAATCAGTGGAGAGGAAGATTCCTCCAAAATGTGATTCCATCAAATAAGACTTCTATTCTGAGTCCAGGTTTGGCTCTATATACTTACGTTGGCTGTGGGAATCATCTGGGCAGATTGGCTTTGCTTGACTGCAGTTATCTTTTGTGAACCTCTTCCTCTGTGCCCTAGTTTGTCACTTCCTGCACTGCTGTGTAAGTGAGGGCCCAGGCTGCATCAGTCTGTGCAGACATGCTGGTGTTGGAGGCTCTGTATCCATCACATCATACAAGGATTAGGCTGTATTAGCCTCTTTTGGGCCTTTTTTATCAACACGTTATTTGTGATTCTCTAACAACATCTCTTAGGTACAAAAAGAAGACAAAAACTCGCTTTTTCATTCCTCAGAAGTTATATTCTGAATGTCTTATGCAGGTAAATTATCAGAAGCTGCGTTATTCAGCAAATTTTATCACTCTTATTAGATGTCTTTGGATAAATTCAGCAATCTTAATTTATGTCAGCTTCCAAAATCATGACTATATTACATGCCTCTGACGTTTTCCTGCATTGCATTTTATTCTCGTAACTACTTTGAATGGATTCTGCTTCCTGAGTAAGATAATATGACATGACAATTCTTTCTCTTCACTGTTTAATCAAAAGTGGTATAAAAACAAAATCAACATACCTCCTATATCAGGTCTCAATTTGTTGTCATATCCTTCCAGCAAGCCATTTAAAATAAGAGTCACATCACTCTCATGGACTTTGGGAGTCAAAACCCAAGTCTTATTTGAAGTGTAATCTTCATAATCATCATCTCCCTTTTGGGTGGAACTATTAAGGAAACAAAAATGAAGAAAAAAGCTTTGAAAAATACAAATTTGGAGGTAACTTCTCTGGAATACAACACACACACATTTTAGATTTTAATAATACTGTAAAAACATTCTTAAAATTTTCCATTTTCAAAATTAGACCCCCAGTAAGATGCCAAATAACAGTTGAGGTTACAGTTCACTTTATCAGCATTTCCTTTTAATACGGTTGAGATCACATTCTGTCTTTTCAGAGGAACATCAGTGCTTATCACCTTTGTCATGGCTATTTTTTCTCTCATTGACTCAGGTGGGACCTGTTATGAAACAAATCTGTCACTTAGCTTATGCAACTCTCCACCAAAATATCATTTATTGTGTACACATTGTTGTTTCTTTACTTCTATTGGAGAGAATGATTTGATGAAACACACTACTGACAAGACCAATAATTAGATTTATTCAGACAAACTTCTCATGCAGTTTATCTCCACTCTGATGAACTTGAATTTATTGTGCATTTGGAAAGTTGAGCACAAATTTTTGCCAAGGGTTTTCCTTTTCACTTTTGCTAACCAGAACCCACAGAAGATAAAAAGTTTGTCTACTGGGGTTATTCTGCTACTCAGAAGCGACAGCAGATCTAATTCAACCTGCTTAGCACAGTAAAAAAAAGCAAGTTCGGAGTCAGAAATGTGCAGACTAGTCTTAATGGATGTGTTGTTTTCTCAAAATAAGTGCCTCCAGTTCTAGAGGAGAACATTGAAACTACTTTAGAATATGACATAATCAGATATTTTCATTTCAGACTCTTAGTTGTAATCAGCTGAGCAGTGCTAAGCAACTGTATGTTTTTTTGCATAATATGCCAGTGTTCTTCTTTCCTGTCCTGCTTCTGTGACAAAGTTTGAACCCTGCTGGCTAGATATGGAAAATCTTGATGATACTACAAATGTCTTAAGCCAGTGAATAGAGTTTGGATACAAATGGGTGAAAAGCAGAAAAATTAATTACTTTCCAGTTTCAACCAGAATCTGAAAAGGAGTGGGAAAGAGCACAGAGAAGCAGATTCTCATGGGGGCTGGATCTTCTGCATGGCACACAAGATTGAAAGAGGCACAGCTGGTCATGGTGGTGGGTGCAGTAGTGAAGGGACGACTCATCCCAGAGCCCAAGAGCACCATTTCATTAACAGCAATCTTCACCCAACTGATGTCGTGCTCACTCTTCCCTTCAGTGCTCTCCTGCTGCATCCAGGTTGTACCTACTCAGAGTGCATGGCCCAAAGGCTTTCCTGTGTTGGGTGTTTGGGAGCTGTAAGCCAACTGCACAAATACAATCTCACTAGGAAAGAGGCTTTGGGTTATTTCTTCCCCTGGGCACAGCCTAACAGGAAAGAGCCGTAGCTCATAGGATGCTGCTTCCCAGGAGGTGCTGAAGGACATTTGAAGCCCGAGATTGCATAGGGCTGTAGCAACTAGGAATGAGTAGCATGGAGAGAGAGCTAGTCTTGCTCTGAGTTGAGCTTGGAAGCTGCTAATGAATCTGATCTGCACCCTTGTTACATGTCCTGGATAACAGCCACCGACTGCAGCCTCCAGGCACTACCTCATCTGCTCTGCACCAGCTGTGGGTATCTGGGAGCTTCAACTTCCCAGATCAAGAATTGCAACCCGACCTCTTCATTCTGGCTGCACAAGCCTGGACCTGTAGTGTTTTATTCGGAATCAAAAGCAAAGTTTTAATTAGCAATATGGTCCATAGTATTCTGCTGGTACTGACAAACAAGCCAATTTAATTAAATTGGGAGAATTTTTTTTTTTTAAATTCAGTTATCAGTTCAAAGATCTAATTGTAATTCAAAGAAAAATAATTGAAACAAAATTCTTTCCCCTGAAGGAAAGGAAATACTTCTAAATAAAATCTTTGCAAACAGAAGGCACTAGATTATATGTTTTCAAACTATGCAAAGTGAATGAAGGAAAATAACTATTTTTAAAAAAACCTTATTCCTGCTTTATAGCCAATTCAACAACCATCCTCTGAAAAAATATCTTTTGCTGAATGGAAAACGAAAATAAAATCAAACGCATTTTTCACAAAGGCAATATGTTAGTGAGTGTCAGCACAGTGAGAAAACTTCAAAACTCAAACCAGCTAATTAGTAGAGTCTGGTTTACTAGACGGTGCAAGATTAGAAGTATGTTTGTCTAGAAGTTTTCTCAGATCTAGAACAACCTTATTGAACAGCAGCCTATAGTAACTGAAACTTCCACTCCTTCTTGGAAATTGTTTGTATGACAGAAATAGCTGTTTGTTTGTTCATCTCTCATCTCAAGCCATTTTGGCACTCCACATCTCCAAACCAGCAAATGCTTTATGAAATGAGTGGGAGACAGAGGAGAGAAAACACAGCCAATGTAGCTGGGGAAAAATGTTACTGAAGTCCAGCTTTTATAAGAATTCCACAAGGATCATAAATTAGCATGGGTATGCAATTGTCTGTCTGTGTAAACCTGCATTCCAGCCAGAAAAATCAAAGATGCTTCTCTATCCAAATGAGCAGAGTTTTAGTCATGCAATGCCATTAATACAATGAAAATTATAACGACAAAGCCCTTTTCGTCTCCTTAAGACTTTCAGATCAGTCCTTCAGATTATATGGCTGAAATTTTGCAAGTGCTTTTAATGTCCAACCCAAATTTATTAAAGCCTAGATTATACCCAAATGCATCTTGAAATCTATTTTTATTTTTCTGACTGCTAGAAATTTTCAAATCTAGTAATATAGATATGAAAAGAAATATATTTTTACCTATCTGCAGATTAAACCATAATGTTTTGAAGGTTCATCGTTCAGACACTGACTAAAAGATCTCACCATTTGAGATATTCCCACTGTGGTATTAATGCCACTGCAAGATGTCTGCAACACTGCTTTACATAAATCCATACATTTCCCTAGCTGGAAAAGAGATTACTTAAGAGGATCAGAACCCAAGCTTGAAACTTCAAACCATAGAGTAATTACAGTTAGAAGGCACTTTTGGAGGTCATCTGGCCCAATCCCTACTCAGCTTGCCAGTGGAGTCTGCATGTGGTGGCTCTGATGGTAATCACTTATAAATGCAGGTACATATATATGTAACCACAAGTGTTTAACATTCAGAGGGATGTTTATTTATTTGAAATACATCTTCACAAAGCAGGAAGAGGGCAGAAATTTCTGGTCCTAATAAGCATTTATTAATTTAAATGTGATTTTCTTAATAATATATGCAAAGATCTATAAAATGGTATCTCACTCTACAATTACCTAGAAACTTCATTCTGCCAATGAGATTTTTACCATGTCAGGCTAAACAGGGTTGAACGAATGTTTTTTATCTTCCTTCCTAAAACAAACACATACTAATCCTAATCCTGCATTGAAGTTGTTACTTAATTTATAACATTTATAGAGCTCTTTTAAATGCTTGTTGGTGAGGAGTAACTTTAGCACAAATGGAGGTTGATGCAAACTAAGTGTTCAGGAACTTATTCTTCAAATCTTTGCCAGTGCATTTGATCCATACATTTCTTTGCAATGCTCTCTAGGCAACATTTAATCATTCTTGGTGCAGGTATAATCCTTGTGGGCAGAGGTACCCACTGCAGGTGGAGCTGGGGTGACCAACCAAGGGAAAAAGGATTAATGAAACGATACTCACTTTATCGTTATAGTCTCCTATATGGGCCCCTTAGCACTAAAGACATTATATTTATACTGGAAATACAATTACAATTGTTGAAAAGGATATCTCTGCTGGGAAATCACTGCTGCATTAGGAAATTTTTTTCCAGCTTACTGATCCTTCAGAAGATATGGTCAAACTCATTACTTAATGAGTTACTTAATTTTTCATTAATGTGCTGATACACCATTCTCTTAGCAGCCCAAAGACACAGAAGTCCACATTATGGTTCGGGAATATATATATTTTTTTAATAGATTCAACATGATTTCTTTTCTTTTGTGCTTTAATTTCCCTAGAAGTTAGTTTGATGCCTATGTAAAAATAATCTGCACTTCAGTAAAACTTAATAAATAATTATATTAACGGTATATAATTGCCTTACATTGTTATGTGTTGGAGTCAGTAAGTCAGGAGTCTCTCTGATCTATTCTGAGAGAAATCAGAGTGCAGGGATTGAATTAAAGTCTTTGGATGGAATGAGTAAGTGAATTGATGGAGTGAATAAGTAAGTAAATGGAGTAAGTTTTAAGTGCTTTTAGTGTGTAAAAAAAGGTCTTAGATGCTTGAGAAGTAATACATATTCTAGTGAAGGTTGAAAAACATAGTAGTGTTTCCTTAGAGGCTCTAAGAATCTAGCTTCAGACACAATATAGTTAGAGTTAAGAATATTGCTTACATTTTTCAGTTAAAACAACATAAGCCATGTACGTAGTTTATACGTAGCCTAGCGTGCTAAGAAACTAAAATTCTAATAGGTGGTGGTCCGAGTTTGTGTCTTAGCTAGTTGGAAAGTTTCTATAAAAGAACATGCATCAGGGAGAGCTGATGCTCTATGCCATGGCTTTATGCCATGTGCATTTTGCCATTGCATTTTGCCACTGTTTTTGCCATTGCTTTCTGTCACTTACCTTTATGCCATTGCTTTGCTTTGTTTTTGCCTTTAAAATATATGTGCTTCTACAATAAATAGCTTTATAGCAACTATTAGCTGCCTCGCTTTTTAAAGAAGAGCCTAACCCAATAGTGTGGGTGCCTCAGAGCACCCGGAGGTCCACAAAACCTCACGTTTGGTGCCTCATGTTTGGTACCGTGCTTTCACGAGCGGGAGTTTTAGCTCCGCTGCCAGATGCAACCCACTATGTGTTGAGCAGTGGGGACACAAACCTCACTGTTATGCTTTCAAGCCTTTTGGCTAAAGTTCTTTAGTTCAAAGATTAATATAAAGCATAGGCCACCTGTTTCAAAACTACTGTGTTTTAGTTAATTGCTAACATGAAGTCAA